AGGGATTTTTACCTTACATTTTTGTTTACCTTGATTTGTTTAGGTTCCCCTACCACTGAATATCTTAAGGGAGATGCGTCTGCTTCAAGGCAAAGGACCGCTGTTTAAAAAATTCGACAAGTAATGTGACAGCAATTTTCTGTGTGTAATCGATTACTTTAATCAATAATACTTCAGTTTAAGAAAGGGTCATCCTGTATGGGCAACAGAAGATCTCTACAGTACCGCCTGTGCCTCCTGGACTTAATTAGTATCGCCATGGGCTGTGCTTCCTATACCTCTCTGTGACACAATGGTACGCCATCGCCTGAATAGACGGAAAGGTTCCGACAGAACAATCGGAGTCCATCATTATCCACGTGGTCATCATATTTATTATCGCCACCATCATCACCATCATCATTACACTATCATCATCATCATCATTATCACCACCAAAGCCGTCATCATCATCACGTGCAATTCAGTATTGTAAGGACATTGATTACTTTCCACTAGGGCTGTACCGAATAGTCATTTTCACTATTCGGCCGAATACGAATAGCTGGACCAACTATTCGGCCGAATACGAATACGAATAGTTAATCATCATCATCATCATGTGCTTTGCCGGCTGGCATGGGCGATTATGCCTCGCCACAATCTGCGATCTCCTGCAGCACGTATTAGTTCGTGTGCTGACACACCTCCATGAAAAGCCTTCGTTCCATGTGGTTAGCATTAGGCCAGCTTTTTGTCTCACTGAAGGTATTTCCAGCTGTACTAAACAGGAAAATACGACAAATACAGAGAGTCAAAATGAAAACCCGCAAGGCGAAACATCAAAAACAAAAATAACTAGTAGGTGGTGCACAAAGATAACGCTTCACAGTATAAACCAAGGTGGGAAGTCTTGATGTTTTTTTTCCACCAGTCCAGAAACGGTTGTGAAGTAACCACTATTCGTATTCGGCGCGACAGCAACTATTCGGCCGAATACCGAATAGTTATTGGGTCCACTATTCGGCCCCGAAGCGAATACGAAGCGAATATTCGGTACAGCCCTACTTTCCATACTTTTCGATCTGTCTTTTTTTCGACTTCTTCAGCATCAGAGTCATTGAACTTCATTCCTGCAGATATCTCCCGCTTTCGTTCATCCTACTAGTAGCTTGCCTGCTTGTTTGTTGTACCCCAGCAGGACATCACACAAACGATGAACACCCGGTGACACAAAATGCCACCATGCGGAAGAAGATCACCCGTGGAGAGGTCCCAAAAACCCCCTCCAACCGTTATCGCCACATTCGTAGTCAGGCTATATTCAGGGCCTCCGGCAAAAGCCAGGGTGGATCTTCATTAACGACAAATTGCATCCCACATGGTGACGACTATAACAATTCCTACTGGTTGGCCTGCTCTTTCCAGCTGGTGACACAAAGTGTTTGTAGGTCTGTCTGGATATTATCACTCCTCGTTTTCTTGGTCTTTCTACGACTATCCAACTCCCTTATGTACACAGTAGTCGACTTTGTGGCAAAGTCGATGCGAACGCTTCGTAATGACGGGATGCCGGGCTCGATCCCAGCTGCGGGCTATGCTCCTTGCATTGGTTTCGACAGTGGTATCAAGAAAGCCGACCGTTCAGTAGGCAATGGCAAACTGCCGGACGTAAATTTGCCTAGAAAACCGCACAACAGCCAAGGGCTGTTGGGGTTGGTTCTGCAACGTTCTGTAAAGAATATGCAACTAATCTATGTACACAGTTCCTACCTCTCTGTCATCTGAAATGCTCTGAATATTCCCCAGCCATTTCAGTCTACTAGCATGCATAATGCTACTGATCAACGATCTATGTCTTTATGAATAATTTTTTTTTTTTTTTTTTTGGCTGATATCCTCCATGATTTTGCCTTAGACTGGTCAGAATTAACTCCCCTTGTCTACAATTTACTTTACAAACATTCAAAAATGGGCGTAATTTTTTGTTATATTAGAGCGTCAATCCTAGTTTTGTTACTCGGCAGGCACTCCGCATTTTACACACGACTGGGGCCCTGTTAGGGTATTTGTTTGGCCGCAATAATATGGGGACGAAGTTCGGAGGAGAGCCATAGAATGAATTATGTAGACAGCAACAACTACTGTTGGGTAATGAAATTCAGTGGTTCCCCCCCCCCCCCCATAAAATAGCCTGATGATCTGGACTTCGCTGATGATATTAGGCACGATGATAAACTTATCATCCTCATTCGAGAGATGGATTAATAGCTTTCACGTGCGATGCCTAAAAAGAATACTTGGCATTAAGTGGCAGGACAAAATCACAAACACTGAGGTACTGGAAAGAGCAGGTACTACAACAGTCTTTTCCATGCTCAGTCTATGAAGGCTCAGGTGGCTGGGTCACACTTGGAGAATGGAGGATGGCAGAGTCCCTAAGGACATCCTTTATGGTGAATTAAAGACAGGAAGAAGATGTCGCGGCCAACCACAAATGTTGACAACAATGGATCTGAAATCCCATGCTATCATTGCGGAAGACTTTTCTTGACACGGGCGGGTCTTGCGAGTCACACTCGCCATCTTTATGGGCTGTGAGCCTCATGTCTCCTTATAGCGCAATAAAACACTATCGTCTGGAAAGACGGAAAGGTGCCAATGAAATAAACTAATCATTCTCATCACGCCTTTCTGCAATCTGCCATCTCCTGCAGCATGTTTCAGTTCGTGTGCTGACACACCTCCATGCCATGCAACAAGACTGTCAAAAATCTTCTTTAGTTTTCTTCCTCTATCCCTCCTTTCACAGATCTTTCCAGTGGTCACAACATGTTATAGTTTCCATCTTCTCATAACATAACCTCAAAATGATGACTGTCTCCTTCTGATGTCTGTGATAAGTTCTCTTTGGGCTCCCGCCTCTTTCAAAACCTCTTGGTTGCACTTTTTGGCTGTCCAAGGTATTTTAAGCATTCTTCTGTAACACCACATCACTGAGGCCTTAAGAAATTGTTTGGCCTGCCTACCAATTGTCCAGGACTCACTGCCATATGTTAAAACTGGATGTATGTAGCAAGCAAGAATTCTTTTTTTTTTACCTTCGTCAATGACAAAGGCATAAGATGTTCATCATTTTATAAAATGCAGTTTCTGTCTGTCCTATTCTGTTTCTCATACCAGTAATGCATCTTCCATCTAATGTTATCCATGTGCCCAGATATTTAAATTTATGTACTTATCGATGATAAACTAGGCTAACAATGTTCAAACTTATCTTAGGTATATCCCACTCTAAAATGTGGTCATATATCTATTTAGGCCGTAATGTAGATGAAGATGGGGGGGGGGGGGGAACTAACAGAGATATTAAAATACAACTACATAAGACATGAGTAGTTGTCATCATCATCATCATGTAGCAGGTCCTTTGCAGAACGTCGCTCTCATCACAGTCTGCCTGTAGGAAACTCGGTCTCTTGCCAGTTCTCCCGCCTCATGAACTTTGACACTCAAGGAGTCACTTATATCCTATGCCCATCGTCGTGTCGGTCGACCTTTGCCCCTCCTTTCCGGTACCATGCCTTCTGCTATAATTTTTTCCAATCCGTCGTGGCGCTTGATATGACCAAAATATTTCAGCTTTCGAGAAAGGATGCTGTTTATTAGCCAATCTTCCTTGATGTTCAGATCTTTTCAGATGTCAGTATTTCTTTTCTTCTTTGTCCAAGATATTCTGAGAATCTTTCTATAGCATTTCAGCACAAAAGCTCATATTCTCTTTCTTAAGGAGTGAGAGATAGTCCACGACTCACATCCGTATGTAGCCACAGGAAAGATGCATGCTCTCAAAATTTTAATTTTTATCTCCTTGCTGGTGCTTAATTATAGACTTTTAAGGCTGTTCCATCTTTGCATTGCTATGGCCATCCTCCTTTTAATTTCTGTCGAACAGTCTCCATTGTTGTTTATTATAGAGCCTAGATATTCAAAGTTTGTGACATTTTCAATTTCTTCATCATTTATAGTTATTTTTGGGTGACAGCCAGTTTTATCTCTGGACATTTTTTTCGTTTTCTTTAAATTCAAGAACAGATTTTGATCTTCACTGTGCTTTTGGACAGACAATATTAAATTTTCTATTCCCTTTACGCTGTTCGAATGGAGGCCGGTGCCTACTCAAGGCTGGGTCGACCTGGGAGTCAAGGTCATTTTTGAAAACGTTCGGCTCCGCCAGGAAGCGAACCCACGACCTTACGATTCACACGCGAGCGTCTAGCCGCTACGACACGGCGACTCCCAAATTAAAACTGGTACAAAACTTAAAATTTTAAAATCTACTGTTAAATAAAAACTGTTGTAGAAGCCTGGCTGGGGTGGGGGGGGGGGGGACGCACTAAAATAATTACTATTTAATTAACTGGTGCTGCGCAGAAGAAAGTAAATTAAATGGTATGACAGAATCAGTGACGTGTGTAGTTTTGTGGAAGAACTAAGCAAATTCAGGAGTTGATGAAGATACAATGGCGTTGGATAAAAGACACGTTACGAAAAAATAAAATTAATATAACTAGAATATCTGTGCACTCAAAACCGCAGGGAAATAGAAACAAAGGCATTCTAAAAGCAAAAAAAGAGAGAGAGAAGGGGGGGGGGGGTCGGGGAGAGAGAGAGAAACAAGCTTGCAGAGGTAGATAGGGAGTGCAGTTTAAAAAAAAATGTAAAGAACATGAGGTGAGTTGAATGCGATAGCAAAGAATTGGATATCATAGAAAGATTTAAAACCAAACGAAAAGTAGATCAGCGAGCTTCACAATATAACAAGCATAAACGCTTCGGCTATAGAGCCTTCATCAGTACATACATAAATCAAACAAAACCACAGGAATACATCAAACCACTTAACTGAGTATCTAGAAGCAGCCACGCTGATGTCTTGCCAGCGGAATTGGCCTATGGTCCGCTGGGGGATATAAACATTTCTAACAGGAAAATGTAACTCTTTCAATAAGGTGTGCTTAATGGATGAAGTTTTAGCCCCCTTTTTCCACTCTAGGCAGATTGGAGGATTTGTTGCTGGCATTTCGGTATCGGCTGACAACATATTTAAAAAAGGAATGAGTGCAGTGACCGTGTCTGGCCGTGTCAGACCTGCTCTGTGAGTATCAGTTCTGTATTAAACATGTTGTTCTTGGTTTCAAGATAAGAGTGACAATGGTCTAGAATGATTTCAGCTAGTGTAATGAAGTTATTGTCGGCTCTGTGGCTAAGTCGATGCGAACGCTTCGCTTCGTAATGCCGAGATGCCAGGTTCGATCCCAGCTGCGGGCAATGCGCCTTGCGTTGGTTTCGACAGTGGTATCAAGAAAGCCGACCGTCCAGAAAGCAATGGCAAACTACTGGATATAAATTGCCTAGAGAAACCACACAACAGCCAGAGGCTGTTAGGGTTGGTCCTGCTACGTCCTGTAAAGGATACGCAACTAACTTTTTAATGAAGTTATTGTTGCTTGTGGGTAGTAGTAGCAGCAGCAGCAGCAGCAGCAGCAGCAGCAGCAGCAGCAGCAGCAGCAGTAGTAGTAGTAGTAGTAGTAGTAGTAGTAGTAGTAGTAGTAGTAGTAGCAGTAGTAATAGTAGTAGTAGTAGTAGTAGTAGTAGTAGTAGTAGTAGTAGTAGTAGTAGCAGCAGCAGCAGCAGCAGCAGTAGTAGTAGTAGTAGTAGTAGTAGTAGTAGTAGTAGTAGTAGTAGTAGTAGTAGTAGTAGTAATAGTAGGAGTAGTAGTGTTAGTAGTATAAGTAATAGTAGCAGCAGCAGAGACAGCATCAGAGGGAGAAGGAGGAGGAATAGTAGTAGAAGTAGTAGTAGTATAAGTGATAGTAGCAGTAGCAACAGCAGTAGCAGTAGTAGTAGTAGTGACAGTAGTAGAAGTGATAGTAGCAGTAGCAACAGCAGCAGTAGCAGTAGAAGAAGTAGTGGTAGTAATGATACTAGTAGTAGAAGTAGTAGTAGTATTAGTAGTAGCAATAGTGATAGTAGCAGTAGCAGCATTAGCATCATAAGCAGTTGTAGTAGCAGGAACAGATTTAGACTTGGTTAGGCCCTAAGCTATATAACGCTTTGAGGCCCTACCGTTTTATATTACACCAGCTAATTTCATGAAACTTTTAAATATATACGCCTTTTAAATACATGGGTAATTAAAATATATTGTCGTTTAATTATTTTCTTTTAATTAAAAGAATTGAGGACCTGTTTGCAATTTAAAATAACTTATGATTATGATTTAAAATCCTCGAAAAAGTCCTAAGTTACAATTCAAGAAATTGTTCTTGATTGCAGGCTGCAGACTTTTTAGAAGGGAACAGCTTCTCTCAAGGGGTCTAGCTAGTTGCCTGCCAGGGAAATATATCTGGTCTAATGCGGCCAACTTAGCGTCTGGTGTTTATGAGGGGTTCCAGAATAGACTTGAAGTGACTGGCGTCACTTGATCTTGGGGATACCTACACCAGAGTTAGGTTTGAAATCTTGATGTCCACCCTTATAAAGAGGAGAGCCTGTCCGGGGCTAGCTAACTGGGTAGCAGCTGTCCTGTACGCCTGTGAGATCACTGTTCGTCTGCCTACATAGGTCTCAGAGCTGTGCAATGTCGACCTGGTACTATCACAGGAATCTGTAATTTCACCATTGCTCTTCAACAGCAAGATTGCAGAATTTGAAACACCTGGTGTGGTGAGGATATTGCCAATTGCAGATGATATTCTTGCACAAAGGCAGTGGACAGATAGGCCATATAACAGATAGGCCATATACTGCTAAAGAGCTACAATGAGTGACGTTTAACCCCACCTGGACAGCGGGACGAGCGATTAACACGCAATGACATAAATGCCACCATTCAGATAAGAATTACCGGGGACAAGTCACAGAAACCCTGTTCAACCGTTGAGTTATATATGGGACCCCGACACTAGTCGGGATGGGGCTTTAAATTAGCACACAAAATTGTGTCCCACATTGGGTCAGTATGTTGAAGACCTACAGACGACAGTTGGCAATGTGTCTGCATAGGGCTGCCTCCCAAAAATATGACACTCGGGAGCGAAGCAGGGGGATGGGTTAAATTTGCAGACATCATTCTGGCTACAATATCTAGGTTTATTGTGCGATTTGGAAATAGATTTCTGGTCACTGAAAGTTAACACTCAATTCAGTAATTCTCATAGGATCTTACATATTTTTACGTCCAAGAATTAAACTCAAACAAAATTTTAAACATTTTACACTATGCTTCCTTGTCATCTAAATGTAAACTTGAAGCCTAAACAGTAATTGTTTTATTTTAACAGTGATATCAGAGCGTAGACCGCCGCTAACTGAGAGAGAGAGAGAGTGATGTAAATAACTTTCTCTGTCTTCCTTTGCCAATTCCCTCAAATACATTAACATAAGACTAACTTCTCTAATCCATTCAACAGAAGTTAAAGCTGGATTATATGTAACGGCTAATTGTGAGACAATTATTTTATTTTCATTTTAAAGCCCCACCCTGGCTGTCGTCAGGTGTCTTTATATAACCTAACGGTTGAACAGGGTTTCGGGGAATTGTGCCAGGGTGATTATCATCTGAATGGCGGCACTTTGTGTCATGGGGTGTTAATCGCTCGTTGTGCGGTCTTGACGGGGGTTGAATGTAACTCACTGACTTACTCACAACTACACCGCCTACTTCTCCTTCTCTATCAAGGGCTTGTGCTTAGCGTCATTGACTATGGTCTTGCCCTCCTCACTGTCAGCAAAACCCAGCTAGAAAGACTGGACCGAGTACAAAATGAGGCCATGAGACACCTCCTGCAACGCCATGCGTTATGTCCTGGGTTTGCCAACGATGACTAGCAGATACAAAGTGTCACAGGTCAAGGCTTACATAAGTGTATCGGCAGACGTTAACCACCATTGCACAAATCTATACACGACACAAAAGGAGCGCGTCTCAAAAGATGCCGCTCTTGGATGGCAAAGGCTGAGGATTTAATCCAGCAGGTATGTGACCTAGACGTGATCAGTCACTGAAAAGAATGGACGAATACACCAGTAGACATGCATGGCATCTCTAAGGTTGTCATCACACTCGGAAGGTACTGCAGGGATCAAATTCCAGCGGCCGTAGACACAGAAGTAAGGGAACTGATAGATCAGCATTCAGACCCAGAAGATATCATCATCTACACAGGTGGATCCGCGGATCAAGGTCAGCATGGGTATACACAGCACGAAGAATGGGGAAAACAATACATGAGGACAGCGCTTACCAGACAACCACGTCAAGCATGACAATGGAAATAGCCGCTGCTTCTAAAGCTTTAGCATGGATATCCGAGCAAACCACCACACAGGCAGTAATTGTCTCAGACTCAATGAATATGCTTCAGAAGATAGCAACAGGCAGTATGCGCTCTGAATGGATAAAAAGCATTCGGAAATCGCACTTAACCACCGTAACCTGGATCTACACACCGGGTAAGGCGTAAAGGGAAATGAGCCAGGGGACCAACTGGCAAGCACTGCACCAATGATTGCGGGAAAAAGCATGGACAGACCAGATATCGTCAACGCTGTACGAACTGGGCTAGTGGAGAATGAGGAATTCCTTACACTAACACGATTGCGTGACATGGGAGTTAAGCATGGTGATGCACGTCTTTGCCGTCTTCGGGGCCGAGAAAGGAGACGATATAACCAGCTTCTCATGGGGACAATTAGTAGAAGTACTTTGGAGTGGCTGCTGCTTTGGAGAACTGAGCAAGCATGGGTATGCCCAATGTGCAGTGACATCAAGTGTGATAACAAAACATAAAATAACATCTTGTAGGAAGTAGGCAGTCCGAAACCCAAGTTCATGGTGTCTCCTTCGTGCCAAAGAACTGCATGGCTGTTGGGTGAACAGTCGTTAACGAAGGCAGGCAGGTCGTTGTATGGCCGACGCCTGCTGGTGGATGTAATGTTCTAAGTCCCTTCCCCAGCTAATAATGAGGGTACTGCTGGGGTGACCGTTTATTAATCCTCATATAATGCTTCAGGTCAAAATGGACGCTAGGCACGGCCACCTTTTTTTCCTGCCAGACGGTGGCCGTTGCATTTCTGCTCCATTTGTAGACTGGAAGGATATAGTTTCGTCGCCCAGCTTCTGAGTTGAGTGCATGGCGTGTCACTGTGAGCTACGTGTGTTTTTCGTTGGCACAGGAGCGGAGCAACTATGGGGTGACCCGTTTGCTATGAAGCTGAAACTAGGATTACCAGATTACCAAATTACCAGATTACAACTACACCACCTAAGTGCAACCTACGGTTCTTTTAGAATTGGCATGATTGCTCTTTGAAGTTGTTGCTGTTTACAAGTGCAGTTTATTTTTCAAGTTTTCTGTCAAGATACCATTGAAGCAGGTGTTTTTGTGGTGGGGGCTATGTGCTGATTTACATACAGCAATGAGATGAATCATGTACATAGGAGCCTTTCATTTCCCCTTTAACCGCCGTTTAAATTGTAGACATATTCTACAGTGTAACATTTTCACTTAAAATTCTGTGTTATTTTTCTCAGCAAGAAATTTGAACCTGTAAAGAAGAGACCATTGGAGGCTGATCTGATTGAAGTTGTTGGCAAGAAAACAAAGCCACTCTGGCATATCGTTGCTATGGAACCGGTTGTTGACCCTTTGCTCAGGTATGTTTTCAAAGTGAAGCCAGAGCAAAAATAAACCAGGAGCCACTTTACCAATGGTGATTAGCTACAAACGAGCTCCAACACTCTTTTGTCTTGCCTTATTTGTACACTCCCTCAGACTGCTTTTAATCAGTCTTTTTACCCACTCCCATCTTAATTAACCCGCCCATTCTCTCTATCGCCACTTGTATAAGCAGTTGTATTAGCAGCATTAGCTGGCTACATTTTGTTCGTCATCATTCAACTATTCCTTCAGTAAGTTTTTTTTTTTAATGAGATTGTTGAATTATTTAATTTTAAATTTGCTACAGACACAGATTTAGGAATATTATTTTACAACAGTAAATGTTGGAAAATGACAGCGGAAATTACACATAAACTTGAGACTTTTCAAAATAAATGTTTAAGGAGAATTCTACGAATATTTTGGCCAAACAATAAAGAACTGAGGACGAAAACAAAATGTGCATCATTGGCAAATGTTATCAAAGTAAGACGGTGGAGATGGCTTGGGCATGTTTGCAGAATTCCTTGTGACAATCTGGCAAAAACATCTCTCCGGTGGACAGCAGATGGGAACAGGAGACGTGGACGACCTAAGGAAACCCGGAGAAGGATAACAGAATGGGAACTGAAAGAATGTAAAATGACGTGGGTTACCATGGGCAGAAAAACAGCAGACCGCCAGCAATGGAAATCACTTATGAATGACTTATCTGTCAACAGCGACATGAAGAGGATATAGATAGACAGACACACAGACACAGATTATAAGTTCTTATCTCACATGTAGCCCTAGAAGTGTATTATATTCTACCTCCTCGAGTGACTGGTGAGGCAGACGTCTGTGATCATGCGACTGTTACTTTCCTCAGTGTCAGATAAGAAAATGATGTTGCTATTATTATTATCCTCTCTTGAAAGTTTTGGTGTTTTGGACATGTCAAGGGTCATGGTGGTCTGGAGAAAACTGCGATGGTGGGTGCAGTTTCCGAAGAACGATGCGGAGTCCGACCTCTGCGAGTGTGGATACATGACACAGAAGATGCAGTAGTTGTGAAAACACACGGGGCTGCAGATTTGGGCAACGAAAGAGAGACCTTTAGGAGTGTCGTGAAGAGAGAGCAAAGCTCTGTAAAAGACATGTTGATTGGTGACGATGATGGTGATTATTTGTTGCCAGCTGCTAGGTTTACTTCATGCATCTTTTCTGTCGTCTTCTTTTTTTTTTTTCAAATTGTACCTTCTTTTTCTTCTTCTTCGTGTAAACTGTAAACTCTGGCGGAAACTTCTGGTTGTTTATCCACTTTTGGACCGCATTCCTGTTCCAGAAACAGTGTTTCATGTGCGTCCGTTTAACAGATCTGAGTCATTTGTAAGAAAACTGCTGGTTCCCTGCCTCTCTGGCAGATGCATTCCAAATTAGTCGACTCTTACGACACGCTTTTGGGTAGGCAATGGGCCTATTCTTGTTTTCCATATAATAGGGCCCTGGAACCGACACGGGGATTATATTGTACCTTTTTTTTTTTTAAACCATTATCACCATTACCTTCTCTATTTCCAACTTCTGTTGATGTCCCATATTTTCATTGAGTAATTTTCTTATTGTTTTAATGAATCATCACCGGTAGGGGGAGGTGGAATTTCCCTGATGAAGTGGCTAAACTGTCTGCCATGCGCTTCAAAGCATGTGGGTTCGGTTCTGGACTATATAGCTTAATACCTACGTGCCTGCGATTTTGGAAATCCATGAGGGTCATCGTTGGAGTGCCGAGTTTATATTTTACGCAACACACTGAGCGGTTACACGCCATTTTGCGACGTTAGAGTGAGCCATACAGGATCCTGTCTATTCAATGACGTCCTTTAAACACCTTTAGTAAGTCATCTCTTAAAAGAGCTCATCAACGAATGTTATATCTCCACCCTTCCCCCCCCCCCCCCCCGGACACTTCGCTAAGGTACAAGATGGAAAAGAAGAAGACGAAGTCAGTCATCTGGATTCTCCAGATATTGCACACCATGCCTCTAGTTATTTTCTAACACTAGTTATATTTTTTGTATATTTTTTATTTTATTTTTTATTTCCCATTTGTATCGTGAACCTTCATTGGTTGTGATGCAGCACTACGAGTTTAGATGTTGCTAACAATACAATTCCTGCTTATATTCGTGGAAAGGTTTCAGAATCTATTTTATACAATCATTTTACAGCCGAGAAGAAGGAGAAGAAGAACCTCCATGTTCACCTGATAGAATTCTCGCCAAAAAGGATCTTCCTCTCTCTAGGTTAGTAATTATAATTGTACCTATAAGCTCAAAAGTAGGAGACAGTCCCAACAATGAAATAAATGCTGTCGTCTCTACAATAAAAGTTGGCTATAATGCACCCACAGATGTATTTGGGAATATTATGCTGTAAACCAGTCTCTTCCAGTCTGGCTCTTTTACTCTTGCCTACGCCTATCGGCAAGGCACATGATGATGATGCATGACCAGTTACCCGAGCCCCATACATTTTCTTACTTTTCCATATCTTTTACTATATAATATATACATTTTCTATCCCCCCACCCCCCCCCCCCCCCCCCCCCTTCCTTTTCCGCAAAGCCAATGAAATTTTCTTTATTAAACTAAATAAATTTCTGGTCCCCCTCCCGGCACCTACTCATGGATCCTCTGCCCCGCCTGACCTATCAAGCACACACACACACACACAAGAGCCTTATCCGAACCGTCAGGTGACCTTTTTGAAGCCTCACTCTGACCTACACGTAACCCCTGACCTGAGTCATGTGACCAAAGCCTCAGCCGAGCCGCCAGGTGACCTAGATTTTTTTTAAGTGCCCAAAAAACGCTAACTCGGTGGTGTTGCACCGCTCGGTCGGGCTGTGCAAATTGGTTTTCCTTACATCTTTATATTGAGCCGAAATTTTTTTTCTTCTTTAATTTGAGCCACCTTTAGCAAAGAGTATATGAGGAAAATGCCAGAAAAAGATTTATGAATTTCTTCCCTAAACACTACTGATATGGCGCACATTTAGCTGTTGTGATAATAGTATGATCAGAGTGTTTATGTACTGAAACCCACAGGGCTAGGGAAAGATCATCATAATCATGTACCCTGTCGATAGGCGTAGATTGCTATATTTCTCTATCTCACACGATCACAACAGTCACTGATCAGGTCAGTGCTCTTGTCTCGCCCCCATTTATATCGCCAAGCCTTACATGTATTTATGTCTTTGTAGATAGACACTAAATGACAGTAGATAAACTGCAAATATATGGAGATAAACGACAAATGACAGCAGACAAAAAGTATTTAACTGAAAGTAAACACATAGCTTGGATAAACAGCATACCAATGAAGATCAACAACAAATCACGACAGACAGACAGACAGCATGTAACAGGGTATAAATGACACATGACTGAAGATAAATAGCATATAATTAGAGGTATACAATAAATGACTGCAGATAAACAGCAGATATGTTCATCTTCATTTATTTGTGCCAAAATGTATTACAGGACTCGATCTGAAGAGATCATTGCCAGCATCAAGTACCTGAGCTACACCAAAGTGCGCACAACAAACAAGAGATACCAGATGCAAATGGACATGCTGGCAGCCTCCAATGATGGTTTTAAGTCTGTTGAAGACTACAAGGCCTACCTGGATACTCTAAAGCCACACTGGTAAGATGTTTTGTCCTTTAAAACCTGGATACTCTAAAGCCACACTGGTAAGATGTTTTGTCCTTTAAAACCTGGATACTCTAAAGCCACACTGGTAAGATGTTTTGTCCTTTAAAACCTGGATACTCTAAAGCCACACTGGTAAGATGTTTTGTCCTTTAAAACCTGGATACTCTAAAGCCACACTGGTAAGATATATTGTCCTCAAAACCTGGATACTCTAAAGCCACACTGGTAAGATATATTGTCCTCAAAACCTGGATACTCTAAAGCCACACTTGTAAGATGTTTTGTCCTTTAAAACCTGGATACTCTAAAGCTACACAGGTAAGATGTATTGTCCCTTAAAACCTGGACACTCTAACTCCACATTGCTAAGATGTACAGTATTGTCATCAAACAAAAACGGTTTGTCTTCTTTTTATCCACGGTGTCCTTAAATACATTGTTCTTCATCTGATTATTCTCATAACTTAAGCCGCACAAGCTCGTTAAAGTTCTTTAATTCGAGCAGCTTGTTTACAGCTTTCTCTGTGCTCATCTAACCATATGACGGGCACATAACCAGACTGTGACCGGTACCATCAGTATTGGAACTCTGCGCTGGCTGCTGAAGATGGGGACGGAGCGCGCATGGAAATTCTCCGAGTGCTGTGATGTCAATTCTGGACTCAGCTTAACTCAACTCTGTGCTCAGTAAATTGTCTGGGACATCTGCATGCAGCCGCCTTGTACCAGGTGTGTTCATGATATACGTATACACCAAATCTTGCTCCAGGGATCAAACCAACCGTTTCTTCTTGAAGAACCTCTTCTTTCGTAGTTTTAACAATCTCAGTCCTACTGGGATTATTATTCAGCATATATTCTATCATATGAGATGAATTGGAATAAGGGGGAAAAAGGGTTGGACGACCACTGGTATAGACAGTCATAGAATGAAACACTAAAAACCACTCACACTGAACCACAGGTTAAACCAGTTAGTAAAAAGTAATGAACCCTTTTCCACGCCTTTAGGCGTATTGGGAATATAGGGCTAGACCTATATTTTTATAGACCAATCGGCATTTGTTGGGTGATGTGGTCAGCATCATGCCGGCTGCTTTTACTTCTACGGACTGCGCTTGGTACCCACTGAAAGCTAGGTCGACCTGGAAGTCAAGGTCATTTTTGAGAAAAGTCCCTCAGGGTACGAATCCACGACCTTCCTATCCGCAGGCGGGCATCTAACAGCCAATGCCTAGGCGACTCCCAAATCATTTAGTGGTACCTCAATAATACTCTCTTGTATGGTTATATGTCATCGTCTGTAGTTTGGGCGATGCGAACTCGCTATGTAACACGGAAGTGCCGGATTGGATCCAAGCTGCAGGTGATTTGCCAGCAGACTGTCTTTCACTGGTATCGACTGGTGTTCAGATTCGACCTTACAGGAGCAGTGGCAAATTTACTGGAGGTAAATTTGCATAGAAAACCTTTCAGCCAAAAAATGCTGGGGTAAAGGATATGCAACGAACTTTTATACAGCAATGTGGCGTGTAGAAACAAACCCCTAGCAGAGCACATTGCAACCAGCTAAAGCCCACAGCTACTGATACCAAGAGAACTGGACCTGACCAGACCCAAAAAAAAAAAAAACTCAAGCACCACACCGGACTTAGGAAGCAAAGAACCGGAATATCAGGCTTGACTTCACACCACAAAAAATAGAAAACCAAAAAAGATAGCCAAGGAACCTTCCTTCATGTAGCAGGCCTCCGGGCGGCTGAAAAAGGATCAAATTTTGAATTTTTGATGGACAACTGAAATACGAATTGTAACGGGATCTCCTGGATTTGAACCTGTTGAAATGGTAATTGTAATCTGCAATCCTTGATTGAGACAACTTAGGGCGGGGGGGGGGGGAGGGGGGATATTTTTTAAAACTGTTGTAAATCAAACAAACTAGAGATGTGTAGGATACCTCTGGTGAGCTGGGTTGAGTTAAGAATTGACATCACAGCACTCGGGGCATTCTCATGCTTGCTCCGTCCGCATCTTCGGCAGACAGCGCAGAGTTCCAAAACTGATGGTACCGGTCACAATATGTTGGGTAGAGAGCAGAGTGCGCCGAATACGCACTTAAGTGGATTGAGAAAACGAGGATATCAACAACAACAACAACAAAACTGAAACAAACGTTGAAAGACAAAGAAACAAAGGAAAAGAATAGAAAGGAATGGAAGATTAAACTGCGAACCCTATGTGATTTATAATGGTTCATGAGGACATATTGAATGTTGAATTAAGAATCGACATCACAGCACACGGGACCCCCCCCCCCCCCCCGCCATAAGCGCTCCCTCCCCATCTTCAGCGGCAAGTGAAGAGTTCCAACTCCGATCTCAATAGGACAGTGATGATACATCCATACATTCGTTTAATTGTTTTCTTTTCATTTTCTTTTTAAACCCATATACCATTCGTTGTATACCCTTTGGCTCGTAACTATGGATATCGCAACCCTTCTGTCTTGATTCCATGATAGGTACCGTAAATCTGCGAAATATATAGCATTTCTGCCTAACCTCGAGCGTGAACTCGACCACAAGGATTTTGTCACCGGTCGCCGCGCAACTGGTTTAACCAGTTGAGCTAGCGCGACGGGCGTCTTTTCATTTGAATTATATTATAAATCCGTTTCCACTGCAGGTAATTTGGCACTAGGCCGCTTTGTGTTGATTTCGACAATGGCGTCGAGAGTCGACCGTTTAGTTCAACGGCAAACTTAGTCTTTTCTGTTGAACCTAGTGCGGCGCATACCGCAGAGGTCATAGCTTTCCATGTCTGGCGGTTCAATAGGCCCATGGTTGAGCCTTCCCTGATGATGGTTCTACGTAGTCTCTCTTGGTCTTTCCTGTCCCCCCCCCCCCCGCCCCTTTTCCAATGTCCATATGAGATCTTGATGGGGGAGTCTGGTCATATCAATTCTGAGCGCTAGACCGATGTAGTTCCAGCGGCGCTTTCTTTTAGAACTGGATACATTTTCTTGCTTGGTCTCCTGTCTTATTTGCGTATTGGATCTGACATCTGTCCATTGAAGATTTAGTATTCTTCTAAGGCATTTGTTTTCAAAACTGTCAAATTAAAAAAAAAAAAAAATGTATTTATCTAAAGCTGCCGTTGCTTTCTAACTCTCGCATCCATAAGTTAGCAAGGGAATCATACAAGAGTTGAAACTAACAGCAAAATAGTGACTGTAAAATTAATTAGTAAAATCAAACGGAGGGGGAAACAGCTGGGCTTGATTCTGCAACCTCTTAGTCGACTTTAGTCAACGGATCAACATCATGGCACACGTGTGTAAACCCATAAGTGCTCCGTTCTACCTCTAACTCAAGCCTGAGTCTGAAGAAACTCGGCGAAGTGCACGAACTCCGTTGCACCTGCAACATCTTTAGAGGAAAGCCGGCCTAGTGTAGCTGTTAGATACTCGTCTGCCGTTCCAAAGGCCTATGGTTCAAAAGCAAATTTTTTTTTTTTTGGGGGGGCCAAAAGAAATCTTGGCTTCCAGTTCGACGCAGCCTAAAAATTGGTAATGTACTTTAAAGTAAAAACGACCGGTGTTATTCTAAACCTATCACCCATTAAATTCAGATAGTCAAGTTTAATTGATTCGTTTTGTTTGCTTCATTTTAATCAGTTGTTATGCACTTGACAAGATACAGTGAAATATGCAAGGCAATAAATTGTGCAATCTATTGTTTGTGTCTTCCTGGGAATTAAAGGTGGCCGGCGAGATGATGACAGCATCACCCCCTGGGTGCCGATTGGCCCATAAAATACAGGTCTAGCCCTGTGAGTTATGAGTTGGATTTGTTAGTTAGTTAGTTAGTTAGTTGGGTTATCCTCATTGCACTCCGGACATGTCCATAGGTGCTCAGATCCTCCCCTCAGTATGAACCCCAACGTCCGATGGCTAATAGTACCAGTTCTTATGTTTGATTAAACAAGTCTTCTGGCGTAGCTGGTGTGCGTCTCGTTTTTTGCAGCTGTGCCGATCTTAATTCCCAAGTCTGCCATTCTGGCGAGTGATGTGGATTCACTGCCACCAAAGTCCTCTATTCTTCCCAATTTCTCTGAGGGCATTGATAATATCAGCATGATCCATAGGCTGACCGTCCACGTAGTGATAGCGGATCCAGCCAACCTGTCAGCTCTTTCATTTCCATCGACGCCTGCGTGTCCCGGAACAAAAATAAAAGGTGACTCCACGAACAGTGGACTTCTGTAATGATTCAAGCCATTGTCTTCGCACTGAACCTGCCTGAACCCTCCGGATCATACTCATTGAATCACTGAGTATACACACGCGGGTGTATTTTTGTGTTTCAAGCCAGGCAAGCGCTTGTGTCACTGCCATCACCTCCATCGTCATGCTGCTGGTTGTCATGGAGAAGGCGCCGTTGGCTTCTTTGACTGTTCTGCCCGCTGAGCGTGCTGTAAATGCCCATGCGCTTCTTCTTTGGCGTTGGATTATCTTCACAGAACTCCGGTCACATCCATGGGTGCTCAGACGCCCCCTTTAAAATATTCATCAGCGTCGCGCGGTTAATAGTGCCAGTCCTCTGCTGGTTGACAAGACTTGTGTGCATCCGGTGTGTTTTTCCAGGTCCGCCTGTATATAGGTCCTTCTGACTAAATCACAGTACATTTTGGAGGAGTCCCCTCGAAAAAAGGTTACTGGAAGCGTTTCTATGTTGCATTGTGTGACATTTAAATATGCTTACAAAGTCCTGTGTTCGAAACGTATTCGTATTACAAATCGACAAGCGGATAATGTGAAGTGGATATACACAAGTTTTACACTTTGCTGCTAGATTACAGCAATTTTAATTTTAATTCACGGAATGTAGAAATCTTACTTTTGGGGAAAATACAAACAGGTAATTTAGAAGCCATATCTAGAGAAGGCCGTGGTTTTTCATGCTTGTCTGTGCCGATCTTTACTCTCAAATCTCGTATTCTTTCTTAGCAGTGATGTGGACACGTTGCATCCAAAATCCTTGGAACTTTCTCTCTCTCTCTCTCTCTCTCTCTCTCTCTCTCTCTCTCTCTCTCTCTCTCTCTCTCTCTCTCTCTCTCTCTCTAAGACAATGGTTCTCAGCCTTCCTAATGCTGCCACCCTTTAATAGACTTCCTCATGTTGTGGTGACCCCCAACTATACAATTATTTTCGTTGCTACTTCATAACAGGTGAATATGTGTTTTCTGAAGCTCTTTGGCGACCCTGTGCGTGGGTGGTTCGACCCACAAAAGGGTCGAAACCCACAGGTTGACAACCACTGCTCTAAGGGCATTGACAATATATGTGTGATCCATGAGCCGGCCATCTGCAATTAATGCTGAATTTACCAGTCTGTCAGCTCTTTCATTGTGTGTGTGTGTGGGGGGGGGTGCGTGGGTGGGGGTGCGTGCGTGCGTGCGCGCGCGCCCGCGATAAACGATAAACTCAGTACGTCTAAGGGTGGGGGGAAGGGTTATTTTCATGCTTTCAATGTCTTGATGATTCTATTTACCATATATAAAATGTCATTCTTGTTGAAAGGTTTAAAGATTTAGTTAGGGATGCTGCTAAAGTGGGGATAATTTCATCCATCAACGTCATAGAATCCCTGGAAAAACTCGGCCGTTACTATGACATGTCCAGCACATCGATGGTTTTGGCGAAGGTAAGAAATGTTCGCCGTATTATGTAGCACTGATTTGATATTCGATTTGATATCCTATTAGAAAGACCTGTGTGTGCTTCTGACAAGAGAGCACATAGTGAAGAATGGGTTTCAGTGACGCCCAGCACAATGAACTTGCTCAGAGTTTTAGTTTTCTTAGACCGAGGGGGCCGGGAATTGGATAGCTGGTGAAACAAGAGTTAGCGGCACAAGAGCTGATCAATAAAAATTCACGCTTTGGTGACATCATAATATACACAGATGGGTCTGTAATGACCGGTAAGAAGAGCTGGTAGGGTTTTATTGCAAAGGTGAAAGGACACTGTTTGAAAAAAGAGAATCTTGCGTACAAATTCACCACATCCAGTTCAAGAATGGAGGCGGAGGCAGTAATGACAGCTTTCCGATGATGTGAGGGCAGCACAGGCTAACTCGTTGTAATTTTAGCAATCTCATAGATCATGCTTCGGAAAACTGAGACTGGTGTCCTGCGCGAATAGTGGTTTGCATCACTTGATAAGATCCAGAAGAAGAGATATCAGGATTTTCAGTCCGGTGTGCGAGGTAACGAGCAGGCTGATAGATTAGCAGCGGCTGCTCCTCTGGGCTATTATATGATAACGTGGATCTGGTTAAGGCTCTATGGGATCAAATGGACAGTGCAAAAGAACAGATAGGGAATCTATACACTTAATAGCTAATTCAACGGGGGTTGTATAGAAAATGTTCTTGAAGATATTCAGTAATGAAAGGAAAACAGAGACGGACTTTATTCATGTTGCAGCTGATACTATTAGCATGTCAACTCTTCGTTGGTTATCGAAGAAATGTCAGCGTACGTGTGCGAATGTCATGAGCACAGTGATTTCAGTTCTTGATTCATTCAATCGTGAATTTATATTGCCTGCTAAGCCACAGAGACATGGAGTCCACTGCAGGACAGATAGTTCTACTGATCAGCCTATATGAATCAACTGTTGCGTCGAGTCAACAAACTACGTGTCATTTGGGCTAACAATTGCTTGTCGAACTGCTTGTAGAACTGACACAGCATAGGCCACAAAGACCACTCTGCTATGTTTTCTGTGATGTTGTCTATTCAGGAAAGAACAAGCCACCAGAAGTACATATGCCTCTGCTTTGTAACTGGAGGAATATGAACCTATCGGTGTAGCTCGTTCAGTTTTGAAATTTTAACCATCACTCATATTTTCATTTTATTCTTTGCTATAATACGTTCAGTTTACCCTCTCTCATGGTTTCATTTTATCTTTTGCTATAATACGTTCCGTTTAACCACTCTCATGTTTCCATTTTATCCTTTGCTATGATACGTTCAATTTACCTTCTCTTATGTTTTCATTTTATCCTTTGCTATGATACGTTCAGTTTACCTTCTCTTATGTTTTCATTTTATCCTTTGCTATGATACTTTCAGTTTACCCTCTCTCATGTTTTCATTTTATCCTTTGCTATGATACGTTCAGTTTACCCTCTCTCATGTTTTCATTTTATCCTTTTTTTTAAACGATACGTTCAGTTTACCCTCTCTCTCGTGTTTTCATTGTATCCTTTCCTATGATACGTTCAGTTAACCCCTTTCATATTTTCACTTTAACCTTTGGTGAGATACGTTTAGTTTACCCCTCTCATATTTTCACTCCAACCTTTGCTATGATAAGTTTAGTTTATACTGTCTCACAGTGGTAGCTGCCGTGGTGAAGTGACTAGATGCCTGCTCCCGGACTGAGAGTCGTGGGTTGCACCGAATGAATTAGGAAAAATAAAATATGACCGTTTCCTGGGTCAGCAGAGCCTAAAATGGTTAGCAAAATATAGCCATGGGAAGTAAAAGTAGCTTCGTGATGCTGACCACATCACCTTCAAAGTTATACAAATAAAAATCTAACATCTTTCGCTCAATGCTCCTCGAGGGCTTGGCTTACCTTGCTTTGTGAAAAAAAATCTCTACGTTCAACCAGCGTTCCCAGAGGGGGAGCTTTAGGTTATAATTGTGACTAGGTTACGTGCACCATATAAAATGGCTTAACATTGCTCGCCACAATGTAGCCCTAAAAAAATGAATTCCTGCAGTGTGGATGCGATAAAAGAAGACAGAACCAAATAATTGTCTCGACCAGCAATAACTTCGTCTACCTGTCAGCCAATGGGCGACCCAGTCGCCGATGCTCCTTCGGTGGGTACCGAAGCTCTATTTGGTGGAGTAGAGGTGGGGTGGATGGGTAAATAGGCTCCCACTGCCTCCTAGGATGCATGTCGAAAAGGCGACTAAGCCCCTTCGAAGTCTTGAGTGCATGTGCTGAAAAGGTAAGAAACAACGGTCGGTAAACAAATTAGCCAGATCTGTACAACAGAAATAAAGGCAAAACTGAAGTTCTGGAACAATCTTCAAATATAGAAGTAGATAATCAACCAAAATGTTAAAGCTGCTGATAAAGAAGAAAAAGAAGAAGAAGAAGAAGAAGAAGAAGAAGAAGAAGAAGAAGATGAAGAAGAAGAAGAAGAAGAAGAAGAAGAAGAAGAAGAAGAAGAAGAAGAAGAAGAAGAAGAAGAAAGAAGAAGAAGAAGAAGAAGAAGAAGAAGAAGAAGAAGAAGAAGAAGAAGAAGAAGAAGAAGAAGAAGAAGAAGAAGAAGAAGAAGAAGAAGAAGAAGAAGAAGAAGAAGAAGAAGAAGAAGAAGAAGAAGAAGAAGAAGAAGAAGAAGAAGAAGAAGAAGAAGAAGAAGAAGAAGAAGAAGAAGAAGAAGAAGAAGAAGAAGAAGAAGAAGAAGAAGAAGAAGAAGAAGAAGAAGAAGGAGGAGAAGGAGGAGGCGACATAGGAGAGATAGAGAGGGGGGGGGGGGTGAGAAAGATGAGGATAAATCTTTGCTCTGCAATTGTTGTCTCTTCAGAGATAATACCAATTATAATTTTTTTTCTCCAATCCACGTTCAGCCCAAACTGTGTTTCATTGTGATGTCCCTGCCACTTTGGGACATTGCCAGAATGTCGATGCAGATGGCCGTCAATGTAAGTTGTGACATTTCGGTTAGGATAGGTTTCACTATGTGGACAGTCAACAGAGTCAACCGTTGATAACAACTAGAGTGAGCAGTTCGAACGAATGAATGCACTGTATTTCTAAAGGGTTACACATTGGGCACATAGGCCTGTCTTACATTTGGCTTTTGTGTGTACTGATGTGTGTAGTGTGTGTGGGCGCGCACATGCGTGCGCGTGTGTGTGCTGTGATTTCATGTGTAAATTTATTACTTTTATTCAGGGCTTTCTTCCTGGAGATAAAAAATTTACCCGCACTTATCCCAAAGTGTCATTAAAACAGATTCCTATACTCATCGCAAAGTAAACTAGAAAAAAAAAACGGTGCTGGTACTTGCCCTAAATGTTTATAACAACAACAACAACTACAACTACAACAACAAAAGATGTGGCACTTATCCCAAAGTAAATGAGGTGCCGGTACTCATCACAAAGTTGTAACAAAAAGTGCCCGTACTCATCCCAAAGTGTCTAAAAAGATGTCCATATTCATCGCAAAGTGTGTAACAAAAGGTGCCCGTACTCATCCAAAGGTGTCTAAAAAAAAAAAGTGCCCGTACTCATTTCAAACTATCTTTAAAAATGATGCTTTACCCATCCCAAAATGTATAAAAACGATGCCCGTATTCATCCCAAATTTTCTTTGGAAAAAACAATTAAGTGCCCGCACCCATCCAAAAAAAAAGATGCCCGTACTCATACCAAAGTGTATTTTAAAAAAAGTACCAGTACTCATCTTAAAGTGTCTAAAAAAGATGCAGGCACTCATTTCAAAATATCTTTTAAAAAAAGATGCGGTACTCATTCCAAAATATCTTTTAAAAAAAAGATGCGGTACTCATTCCAAAATATCTTTAAAAAAAAGATGCGGTACTCATTTCAAAATATCTTTTAAAAATAAGATGCGGTACTCATTTCAAATTATCTTTAAAAAAAAAAAAAGATGCGGTACTCATTTCAAAAAATCTTTAAAAAAAAGATGCGGTACTCATTTCAAAATATCTTTAAAAAAAAGATGCGGAACTCATTTCAAAATATATAAAAAAAAAAAAAAAAAAAAAAAAAAAAAGATGCGGTACTCATTTCAAAATATCTTTTAAAAAAAGATGCGGTACTCATTTCAAAATTTCTTTTTAAAAAAAAGATTCGGTACTCATTTCAAAATATCTTTAAAAAAAAAAAGATTCGGTACTCATTTCAAAATATCTTTAAAAAAAAAGATGCGGTACTCATTTCAAAATATCTTTAAAAAAAAGATGCGACACTCATTTCAAAATATCTTTAAAAAAAAAAAGATGCGGTACTCATTCCAAGGCGCCTTTTAAAAAAAGGGTGGGGGTACTTATCCTAAAGTGTCTAAAAAAGATGCCCGTACTCATCCCTAAGTATGTAACAAAAGGTGCCGGTATTCATCTCAAAGAGTCTAAAAAGGGTGCCGGTACTCATCTTAAAGTGTGTAACTAAAGGTGCCAATACTCATCCCAAAATTTCAACAACAAAAAGTGCCGGAACTTATCCCAAAGTGTCTAAAAAGGTGACGGAACTTATCCCAAAGTGTCTAAAAAGGTGCTGGTACTTTTCCCAAGGTGTCTAAAAAGGTGCTAGTGCTCTTCCCAGAGTGTCTAAAACTGTGCGATACTCAGCGCACAATATCTATTACAGCTGCGCTGACAAATGATGCCTTCAAGAAAGGTGCCTGTGCTGCGCACTGTTGAAACAACCTCCCCCCCCCCCCCCCGAGAAAACTAGCTCTTGTTTTTGCAAAAACAAATGGAGCCATGATAATACAATGAATAGACGCCTGCTTGGGTTCTAGTCCACCTCGAGGCCGATTTTTGAATATTCACCTGTTAAAGTTAATTGCGTATCCTTTACAGGACGTTGCAGAACCAGCAGCAGCATTTTTTGGCTGTTGCTGTTTTTCTAGGCAAATATTACGTTCAGTAGTTTGCTATCGCTGCTAAACGGTCAGCTCTCGGTACCACTGTCGAAACCAACGCAAAGCGCAAGGCCCGCAGCTGGGATCGAACCTGGCACCCCGGCATTACGAAGCCAACCACTCACATGTACAGTCTAAAATAGACACAAAGAAATTTCCTGGGAAGTAAAGGCATCCTGCACAATATTATTTCCAACTCCTATCGAGTTCTAAGCAGTCAACAAAAATACTCCCCGTGTGGGTTCTCAGAGCCCCATTTGGAAGCAGGGTTGAAGTCCCACAGCCCTCTAACAATCATGTCCTGTGTGACGATTAATTGGGAGCGTTTTTTACCCTTCAAATTCGGAGAGTATGTGCCTGGGAGGCAAGGAACCAACAGTCTACATACAAATGAGTCAAACATGTAAAATGGATGTGCAAACAAAACTCTAGGTTTCAAAGAAGACCAAAGTTCAAAAGTGGGCGAACAACCAGCACTTTCGGGCAGCGTTTGCAGTCGGTGACTGCGAAAAAAAAAAAACTAAAAATTAGGGCATAGCACTAAATCTGATGCATGGCCGTCTCTGGTGGTCATGTCGGATGTACCACTTGCGGGAAAAGGGTGCCCGTTTTTCTTCTTTCTTTTTTTTCTTCCTCTTCTTCTTCGTTTTTCTTCTTCCTCTTCTTTTTCTTTCTCCTCCTTTTTCTTTTTTCTTCTTCCTCTTCCTCCTTCTTCTTCTTTTTCTTATTCTTCTTCTGATGTCTTACGTCTTAGTCGAGGTTTCAACTTCACTACAATCGGGTTTCCCCGTACTTGCTCCGTTCCTGTACCAGTGCAAATCAAATGAAATGTTTCTCACTGTCGTATTTAAAAAAATCTGGTGACCAAATAATTAGTCCCGGAACAATGTAGAAAAAAAAAATGCACACGCAGTAAATACATATGGCAGTAGCTTGAGACGACAAAGCCCACTGTCGCCACTAGAAATGCAGTTTGTCGTTGACTGAAAACTTAACTATTGTAAACCGCAACGAATCGTGCGTACTACCGTTTTATGGGCGAAGGCAGAAGAAGAAGAAGAAGAAGATGTTTAAAAATCTGAAAATGATACATCCTTAACAGCAATAATGTTCTCCATCTGAGCTTCCTTAGCCATAATGGCTTTGGTCACCATTGAAACTGTTCCGGTTTTATGGTTCATGAATGCGAAGCGATTAAAATAGCCAAAATATATAACTTTATATTTTGTATTCATTTCATTATCTGTTGGTGTAAATTCTTTGGTGTGCACTTGATCTGTTACTACATAATATGCCAGGAAGTAAGTTTTTTTTTCTATTATTTTCAGTTTATAGTGCATAACATTCTGAAGGCTCCCAAAACACACAATTATCTACGGGAGTGGCTGACATCTCGAAAGTTGCCCTATGTTGTGTTACCCCCTGTTTTCGCAGAACTTGTTTGTCTAACGGGCGGAACAATCAAGATAGATGATGCTGCTGCAGCAGCAACAACAACAGCAGCAGCAGCAACAACAGCAGCAGCAACAACAACAACAACCGCAAAAACAGATGCTACAAAGAAATAAAAATGCCATATGATCTTTTCATCATAATTATCCGGTCCTACCGTTTATACCACAGATAGGGCCTGCAGTCGACGCTTGCATTCCGTTCTGTAGTCATCATCATCATGTGCCCTGCCAACTGGCGTAGGCGCTCATGCGTCTCCACAGATCACCATCCCTGGTTGCCTGGAACAGCTCTCTTGGTGATATCCGTCAGTGCAATTGTTTCAGCCCATCCAGCATCATATCTCTTGGTCTACCTCCAGCACTTTTTCCACTGATATTTCCAGTTGTCACGATGTTCTCCAATGTCTCTCTTCTCATTATCTGGCCAAAGAACAGTGTTTTTTTTTTCTTTTTTTTTTCTTATTGTTGTATTATACAGAGATCTACTTTCTTTAGCCTCTTTCTAACGATCGTTGTTAGTTACTCTGGCCGTCCAAAGTATTCGTAACATTCGTCTCAGAAACCACATCTCTGTTGCTTTCAAATTCTTCTTAATTTGTTCACTGACATTCCAATATTCGCACCAGGATTATAATTTAGATATTTAGTCCTAATCGAGTTCTCAGAGTATACATTTGTTATTTTATATTTAAATGTCGTGTAATTATTTATCTGACCAAAATGTAATGTGTATTGTTTTTAAATATTGCTTTGATTTGGTTTGTGATTTTATAGAAATTGTATTATAAATAATTAGACAATCTTTACTAACATTGTGTCATGAAGATGGCGGATTTATTATTCCCCTTAGTCCAACGGTCGGCAAATCGTGGCTCGGGAGCTGCACGCGGCTCTTTAGCGACTTGAGTGTGGCTCGGCCAGTCGACCACAAATCGGTTTGGTAGGTAGGTAGGTAGGTAGGTAGGTAGTGGTACCTCACCAGAACATCACACATGGGATAAACACCCAGTGACACAAAGTTCCACCATGCGGATGAGGATCACACATGGAAAGTTTCCAGAAACCCCTTTCAGTTTTGTTTTTAGGCTATATCTATGCCCTGGTTATATTTAGGGCCCCCGGCAGAAGTTAGGGTGTGGCTTCAAATAATAAAAAATTGCATCCCACAAGAGGATGACTCACAAATCGGTTTGGACTTCCCCCCCCCCCCCCCCCCAACAAAAAAAAACATGGTTCTTGAAAAGAAATTTGGCTCTCAATAAAGTTTTAATCGTTCTGCTGCTAATTTTTGTCTCTTTTGACTAATGAATGAACCTCAACACAGTTTGCTAGCCACTTTTTTTTTTTAAGGCTAAACACAGAAGAAGTAGAATAAACCGAGCATGCACCTTGGGTTGTCAGAACTGGTTACTGTAGGTAGTCAGACATGCATTCCACCTCTTAGTGAGATGGTGCCTTTCTGTACTGTGTTTCCACGAAAATAACACGGGTTTTGTAATAATTGTTCCTTTAAAAAAATACACTAGGGCTTATTTTGCGGGGATTGTTTTTCTTTTCCCTTTTCAGACACAAAAATCTACAGTTATTGAGGTCAAGTACACATTTTAAATTTCTTCAAATACTTGTCATCCTTTTTTCTTTTGAAACATCGTCAAAACTCTTCAAATCCCAAATTCCGGACTGAATTATGAACCACATCCGTTCAATATCAAATGCACACTGGTGGCGTCTGTACTCCGACCAGGGCTGCCAATACTTGGGTTTCCATTTCTATTTCCAATCTGATAAACAAAAATTCCAAACTTCGTCCTCTTTGAGCCGCCCGAGGACTGGTTCTTTGCTATCTTATATGAATTTTGTTTATTTGTGGCGATCAGTTTCGCCTGAGTTTCGTTTCTCTGCTTCCATCATGTCAGCGTGGTCTGGCTTGGAGGGTTTTGGACTTCTTATTGGCTATTTTGTGAACTGGATCTGGCAACCATAAAAAGGAATGCCAGGTTTGCCTGGGTCGGCCTGGAACAGATGGGTGGGATCTCCTGCGGGTCCGGTGCTGGCTGTTTTTTTTTTTTTTTTTGACAGGGGCATCTCCTGCTGGTACCTCTGGTCGGCGAGCTGGCTTTAAGGCTGTCTGGCTTGTCGGTTTTGGCTGGCTGTTTTGGAGGGGAGTCTGCTAGTCCTGAGAAGGACTAGCAATTTGCCTAGGGAGGCCTGGAAAGGGATGGGAGGGGTCTTCTGTCGGTCTGGCGCTTTTCGCTTTTGGAGTAGGGCATCTCTGCTGGCTCTAGTGCTTATTGTTGTGGCGTTTTGGGTTTTGTTTGCTGCTGGCCGATGTTATTTCCCTGCTGCGTGCCTTCAGTTGACGCATGTCTTAATGGGCATGCGTCAGTTCTTCAAAAACAAATTTTTTGGGGAGTTTCCGCTCTGGCACAGTGCTTCTCATGCTCTTGTTGGCTAAGTTGTTCATTTGGTGAGCTTTCTGTATAAATTATCTGCTAGCCGTTTACCTCCGTGCACACAGTAGTTTCAGGATACATCATTTCGCCCAGTTGTCAGATTTAACTCTTGAACGTAAGCTTCAGCTTCCATGACCTCGTAATCTGCCGTTGTTTCTTGACTTTCTTGTTTGGTTTCTAATGTTTCTTTGCTATTTTGGTACATGTCTATGGTTTCATTGCTTTGGTCGGTGGTTCTGGTTAGTTCCGTTGACTGTGCCTTGTGAGTCATGACTTTCGTTTCGGTAGATGTACATTTGTCGGCCTTGTTGGTGCTTGGTTTCTCGGCTAGTTTTCTGCTTTTTTCTATTTATAGAGAATCTTTCTCCCTTAGCTGCTAGCATTGCGGCTTCTGCCTCTGTTTTTGCCTGCACAAGCAATGCGACTTCTTTACATGCGCTCTCTCGGGCTTCCTTGAGTTCTGCCATCTCCTTCTTTCTTTCTTCATGTTCTGCTTGCCGGCTAGCTACTTCTTCATCCTGGGCTGACTTGATGTGAGACAGCTAGTCTTGCAGCTTTTGGGTTGCTTCCGTGACTTTTGCTACTGTCTGGTTTGCTGCGCGTTTCTGCTAGCTTGTCTCCTTTCTGGGATTTTATTTCATCCAAACTTTGGGAGATCAGGCCTAGTATTTCAATTCTGTCAGTGGTGGCTTCAGCTCTTTCGACTTTCATCTTCTCTAATGCCCTGAGTCCAGCTCTCAGCTCGTTGATTTCTTGAGATATTTTTACAGTTCTTTGTGGCGGTGCACGGCTTATTGGTATTTCCTTCGGTAGCCGGTTTTGCAGACTGCTTCCTGGGTCGTTTGGTTACTTCTTGGTGCCTGGTTGGCCTGGGCATCTCGTATTTCCTATTCACCATTGAGTGAGGGGTCTCTCTGGTGGTGGTAGCTGTCATTGCTCTTCTATACTCCTTGAGGTACGGGCAGACCAGAGACCTCGCGCTGTAAGCACCTGAATAATTGCTGCATTTCCGATTGGCATTAAGGCTTCTTGAAATCGTTATCGATTCTTGCCAGCGGGCACTCCTTGAAGTCGTGGCATTTTGAGCAGTAATGGCACGATGGGCTGCTGCGGCAGGTAGCGGCAGTGTGCCACGCCCTATTGCAGCGTGAGCACTGCATGATGTCTGAGATGTAGGTCCAAGGCTGCTGCTGCTTGTGTGGGCAGGTGTTGGTGGGTCCCTGCGCCATGACTGGGACGGCTTCTGTGTTTGGTAGTGTCTGAACAGGTGATGGCGCCTCGACCGGGACTCCATCTGGGGTTAGCAGCAAAATCCTTAGAAGGACTCAAGTTATTGGCTTGTGGTAATCTGGTGATTTTTTATAGTGCTGAAAATACGGGCTGCTAAAACCCAAACGAGCGCGGACCAAGATAACTAGTCAAGACTGCTTGGGTTTCCCCCAAGATCTGGTTTTTAATATGATACCGTGGGTTCATATTTTAAAATCTTGATTTTTTAAAATAAATCTTTAAATTAAAGTGGGTAAATATTTCGTTTCGTAACTATAAAACGTGTACTTTTTATCCTTCTTGGGTTTTTGTTTTTGTTCTTTGCTTATGTAATGCTTGGATTTTTGGTCAGTTCAGCTTGGGTTTTGATTAAAAATCCCATTGGCAGCCCTGACTCCAGCTGGTCATTGGACACCAAGTCTCGTATCTAGCTGATGATCCCAGCCAAGGTTTATTTCTGGGGGTAGAGTTTATATTTAAGCATCCTGACATGTCAGGCTAGTGTGTATTGTGGGGATAGGTCTTACGCTTCAGGAAAACACAGTAGACATCCTTATTCCGTCAAACTATTTGTTTCCCACTTCAGTGTCAGTTTTATTGTTCTTATGATTCTATGTTAACTGCTCCCCGAGTGTTTCCTGGGCCCCATTGTGAGGGAAAACAAGGATAGGCCTACTGCTTCATAACAAGCATGTCATATGAGTTGACTGGGGACTTTCTTCAGAGTCGGAGTACATCTGCCTAAGTGGCAAGGGACAACCAACAGCACACAAATAAACCAGTAAAATGGATGTACATGCAAAACTCAGGCCCTGGCACAAAGCCAAAGTTCATATGGACAAAAAACCAGGACTTTCCTCCGCAGCTTACAGCTGGTGAACAGATAAAAAGAAAAAAAATGTCTACTGTGCCTCAGAACGTTCCTAATTTATTACCATCTTTACTTTGTTAAACTTTGTAACTGTTCATTCCAGCACTTGACGACATAAATCTCATGGCTGGTTCTGAAGCAGAACTCCAAGAACTTACTACAAAATTAGAGACAGTGTGGTAAATATGGCATGGAAATTAATGCAGAGAGAGGCTAGAATCTGGTAAATGGTCGCAATAACAGAGTACCCATCAACATACAGATAATAGGGGTAAAAACTAGAATAAGTTAAAACCTTTAAATATCTTGGCTCCCACATATGCAACGATGGCAGCTATACTAAAGAGATCAAGACAAGACTTGATATAGCAACAGCCACGATGTCGCAGCTGAATACGATGTGGAAGAGCAAAATCAGCATCGCAGTCAAAGTCAATATTTACAAATCACTGGTATAGTCTATTTTCTTATACGGGTGTGAGTGTTGGACTCTCACTGTGGAAATGGAAAGGAGGATTCAG